TTCACATTGATTTCTTATCCATAAAGCGATGAAACTCATTTGAACTTACGAAACAAATTACTCTACTAAAAATATCTCAGTACGTAATTCACATCCATGTAATCTAGGAACAATGGGATACAAAGGCAGTCTATCATCTACAATTTAGTGTAGTTCATACTTACATTGGGTGAAATTTAGTTAAACATTTGGTACAGGAGTCTAAAATTACTTGCTTTCATGAAACTAACAACCATGATATACTCAGTAAAAACGAATATTAATTAAAGTTCCTAAAGAGTTGACTGATAGTGACGGAAAATCCTATACTCCTGAGATTAAAGTTCAAAGGTGATATACCCAGTGAAATGATGCATAAGAAAAACAGAACGAACAATTAACGTAAAAACATTATGCCCCTCTCTATAAACAGAGACGGATTGTGAATAACAGTGGAATCTAAGACTCGCGTCCCAACCTATTTGGGACCCGTCAGTCGGATGGACCTGCATCCCAGAGTTAATATTGATTTAATGACCACGATCCCAACTGATCGATTGCAGTCGTAAACCCCAATGAGATTATTCAGGCAACCAATACAAATCAATTAAACCAGCTCATCGCATCAACCAGTAACTATTTGGATTAAGTAGATAAGAGGATTATGCGATTATGGCATAGTGAAAGTTTCTGAGGATTGACAGCATACTTTTTGATGGAGTTTTGTTCTGAGCTAGATGGCTTGGTAGTGGAGCTTTCGTCGACATCAGCACAAACTTCAGATGATGTCGTTCAAAAGAACGACGAAAGCTCCACGACCAAACCATCTAGCTCAGAGAACAAAACTCCATCAAAATCATCCACGTGAGCTACAAATCCTCACCATTTACAGCATAGGCAAGCACACATTAAATATGTGAGAATCAACCACAAGAAAATAAACAGAAACATGTACTATCCAGTTATTCTACGAGACAATAATTTGCATTAGACCCAAGATTCTATTATATATGTAGCTGCAAATACTCACCGTATTAAAGTCATTCAGAGAACAGACACGCTAGATACAATCAGTTAATTATAACGTATATGTCGAATCAACACAAATAAAATTTATGGTAAAATGTACCATCTACCATACACAATTAGAGATGTTCTCTTTTTTTAAAAATACAGATGTATCAAACAAAAACGAAAGAAAGAGGAAAACAAAGAAAAATACACAGGACGACTCGGACAAATCATCAATGAGTTGCATAAAAAACTGGAAACAATTCCTGATCATTATAGCGGTAAAGTTTATTTTTAGTAAACTATTCATAAAAAGTACATATATTTTAATAATATTAAATTTATTAAAGAATAGGCAAAATATTCGTAATTTCCTTGATTTTTATTGTACACCCAAAATCAAAATATATTAAATCGTCTCCAATTTTATCTTGTCGGTGGAAGGGAGTAGTGTGTGTGTGTGTAATGACGAGAAAATTAACTTCGACTGATAATTTTAATTTGGAGGTGCTCTAGATAGTTCACTACCTATCTGATAAGTGATAATTTTATTCCAATCTAGTTTGGAACGAGTTAAAGGCAGTTGTCGCCGTAGAGCTTTGAAAGTTGTGTCGGACATTGTTTTGAAGTTCTCGCCAATGGCAACCTACAAAAAAAGTATATATAGTGATTAGTCAGCAATAAACAACCTGCGGCGTGGCACTTAAATGGGGTGGGCTAACTAGCCACATAAAAACAGCGTATTAAGATAGAATGAACATAATACAAAGCGAAAGATTTGAGGTAGTAATTTCTATGATAGTCAAAAAGGCTGTCGCTTAGAATGTGTTGACTATCGTTCTAGTCACTTGAATCACACTATCGTTTCCTTACGCAATTCACATTATCAGCTGACTTTAATCTCTTTAATAGGGCCAGACAAATGTTTATTTATTTATTTATTTAAATACATAAACATTGGTACAAGAAGGCACCAAACAGATATACGCCACATAAACCATTCGATTTGTGTGAGGGCTAGGATACTGTCTGGGTGCCCATACCGAAGCACGTGGTTTTCCTAGAGGGCCACATCCGAAACTTTCAACCTAAAGGTCTGATCCACAAGGCAGTGGAGCAACGTAAGGAGATGCAGTTTTATAGTAGCCGGTGACCAACAATAGGTTCATACGCCTTTTTCTCCTTCAGGATACTGAAGCCCATGTGTATTATTGGTTTGGAAAGAGGGTTTTCCAACTCCCTTAGGTGAATCCTCCATATCCACTAACTCGGTTAAAGCGCCAGACATTCGATTTTCGTCCTCTCAATTTTGTAAACAACACCACCGCTATGAGAAAGCAGTGAGTAGGACTTCCCTGGCAGTGAATAAATAAATAATATATTTGTAATATCACAATGAGTAGAAAAATTAGATTTTCTGACGTTTCGTGACTTAGTGTAAGTCACTTCTTCGGAGAATAAATCACCAAATTTGGTCATTTATTTATTTATAACAGTCTACCCAATGCTCAATTTATTCGAAATTATCAAATCAAATCTTGGTAATGATACCTACTTCCCTGGCAGTGGTTGTATGCACGTGACCATGTGAGAGCATTTGGAGAGGGAGAGCTGATTCTCCCCGCTCTCGACTGTACCAGGACATTTGGGGGCAATATTGTTTTGTGGTAAGTCAATATCCATAAAGTTTGTAATTCGGACAAGGTGACTATGACCTGTAGAGTTAGGTGAGAATCTCGGAGGTAGCACATTATTCAGTTTGAATTGATTTATACACCAGCCAATAATGGAAGACAACTAATTAAATCCTATTTCAACAGAAACTATCAGTCACTCATGTATGAATTCAGATAACTCACTCCCATTTGAAATTTGTCTTAATGATGTGGCCTAGAAAGATAATGGAAACTTTACGACTAAATTATCCGGCTCAGAAAATCCAATATTCCCACGGATGACTAAAGCAACTATAAACTTCAGATGAAGGGAATACAAAAGTCTGAATTTAATTACATTGATGTGACAGTTTCAACGAATGATATGAGTAGGTTGTGAATAAAAATTAAAAATAAGACAATCATTTTTCTAGTCAGTACTAGAATGTGGGGAAAAAGTTGTGTATATAGTCGACACGACGGATAAAAATGAAAAATCACTGCAAGCCACGCGAGCTTCATGATCATTTAAGATCAGTAACTTGTTGGTTGATAATTTATGATGGAATTCATTAGGCCCATATGGGAACATGCTGACTAAACAGAGATAGAGGACGAATCGAGGTGATAGGATATTCTTATTTCAATTTGATAGATTCTAATGCTTTTACAATTGTATTTTTATTATGAGGATTACTAGAACGCTTTGAATTTTTATTGTGATCTGGATACAGTCACTTGTTTGGGAAAGTTCAGACAGAACATCATAATATAGTACTCAAGTCAAGCGTTTTCTGTGTACGAAGGTTAACGACACAACTCAACCTCTTAAACTGAATAAAGTAGAGGAGGTTTCGATCTGGTGATCTAACGCTTGAAAAACAGTTCTTTAACTACAGTAGGTTGCCGCCCAAATAATACATATATATTCTGTCAGCTAGCCATTGATTTTAATCTCCCGATAATTATTCGCAACCCCAGATTCGGGAATAGATTGAGTAAGTGAACCATCAGTAGTTTAATACCCTCAGCAATTCCAGTTAATCGTCACATCCAAATGGTACTTGAAGCAATTGGCGAGAATGCTCTAGTTTTATAAACAACGCCCGTTTAAACTTCTTGTGATTTAAATCTGGCCAATTCTTTTATCAACATACTTCAAATAGTACAGTACTACCGTGCATATATTCAGACTCGTCTAGTATTTGAAGATTAGCTGGAAAGTGGATGGTCAGCCAGAAAACGACAGATCTGAAGAAACTAAGATGGAATCGGAATATATCATTACATTTACTCATAGTTAATTTATAAAGCGCTTGTTGTTGATAAGCACGGACTACTTACTTGATATGCACAATCAGCTTCTTTTATTCTCTTTATTGACTCCCTGGCAAATACCCTGGGGATAGATTCAGAGACAACAAAATCAACTTCTTTGGATGAAATCAATTGAACATTCCCCTCTTCGTATAAATGTGTCTACATTTTTATCAAAAAAGGGATTGAAACAGTAATATATCTTAAGAATTAATACTCAAATAAGTACTTTGCACGAATTTTTAACTTATGAAAACATAAAATTCACAACATACTTTATTCCATAAACAAAAAGGCCATTGTGAAGATTTCCGCATAATTTGACATGAAATCTTGTAATAAATTACACTCATTGAACAAGTTAGTGGCTGACTAGACTCTGCGACTTGGTGGATGAGGCAGTGGTATGTACAGAAAGCATATATTGGGTTTGAATCTTAGTGTGAAGTCAGGTACTGAAATGCAGATGCGTCTGGCTGACAAGTACTAGATAAAATGAAGTTTCAGATCTTAGATCTCAGTGCTAAACAAATTCCAAAAGTATTTGTGGGAAGATTAAGAATCAGTCTAATTCTATTACTGCAATTAATTTTGAGCCATATCACACAAGATCATTACCAAGTGATATGTGCATCAAGGACCTCTTATCCACAACATCTACACCAATAAACTACTCGTAGACTAATAACAACTAATAGGATGGTCTCATAATATAGGTTCTATAATGCAGTAACGATTATAAAGGAAGCAGTCAAGGGTCCTAGAGTGAAGTTGCACTGCTGAACGAACTAGGTCCTGGAACAGACATACTAATCATACTTCTAGACCTTAGGGCAATAGTCGACAGTTTTTATGATATCGCTCAGTGAAAAGGAGTCCCAAAGTACGTCAGCTACAACGTAGGATCAGGCACATACTAATTGAGTCATAACTTATTATGAGCCGATAACAGATTTGCCACCACCAAGTACTATTCGTTATGGTTGCCATTTTCCCTATTTTTGTCTAACTTCTCAAAGGCATTACTTCTGTGAAATACAAGAACAAATGACGTTTCCTCTACAAACACGCTTTTGGCTGTTGAGAACACAAAAAAATCATACGAATTATAAAATAATACCCAAACTATAAATATGGACACAATGCACATTGATACCCATTATCTTCAAGTTCTCAGTCAATTATTCAGTCAATAATAGAAAATTTGAAAGCCATATCAGTTTTTACAAGGTTCCAGACAATAAAAACAGTAGAACCCAGTTTACAATCCAAACACAAATATTCACAAACCTGAACTTTAATAACACCATGAACCGAAAACTCCATCGATTTCTGTCCAACTAGCTTGAAAGTCCATTCTGATCGCCATCGTCCAGTTCTACAAGTTGACGCAAAATAAGATACATGCATATCGCGATTATGACTTATAACTACGAACATTTGACAATCACTAAGTAATAAAATATTATTTAATTACGAAAAAGACTAAATACCGAATGACTAGTGACTTCTAATAATCACACAGATGGAAAACTAGTTGATGGGGTTGTGAATCTGACGCGGTTGCAACATGTTAAGTATGTCAACCACATCCTATATTAAAGCGCAATTCCAACTCACGTAAGGGAGAGCTTGGGGTCAAACCATGAAATAACATCAGTTCATGACTTGGTCTGAGCCTTTCTGGTAGATTCAAATTACGTGTTTGGGACCACACGATAACCGCGATTAGTGGCTAACATCGTTTTGCTTTGGTCACCATGGCACAGGCGCATTCACTTTATCATCCCCTAGATCTTGAGATTCAAAATCATTACACACCTTTTGTCTCGCGAATTAGTTCGTTATGCTCGAATCATGTTTTCAATGTGTATTCTTATTATTACCAGTGATAATTCTACTACCTTTGTATTCATTTTCCTAATTTCATCTCGTTATACTGACAGTGTAGCAACGGGTTGATGTATGCCAGGCTCCACAATGATTACAAATGACCGGATAAATAGGAGCACAAACTTCGACAGCAATGCAAAAAAGTCAACTTTTAATAGTAGAACGAAACACCGCTTCGTAAAGTTCGTACGAATCACCATAAATAACTAATAAGGAGTGCAGTGCAAACTTCCGTACTAGGTCAAAACCTAAACTCCAATGTATGAGAGCCAATAATGCACTCTACAATAACATTTCTGAGTAGTGAACCATTGAGTACTGAGACTGGTCAACCAAAACCTGGTGAATAAAAATGCATTATTACCATAAAACGACGTAAATTTATGCAGAATGATCATACAGAAAATACAACATGCACAAAATTCACGACTTCGGATGTCATTTGTTTTCTTAGGATCCTGAAGCCCATGTGTACCAGTGGTTTGGAATGAGGGTTTTCTAACTCCCCTTCGTATCCACGATCCCGGTTAAAGCGCCGGAAGTCCGCTTTTCGTCCTCTTAAAAAAACCTGTCCCGAGAAGGCAGTGAGTAGGAATTCCCTGACAGTTGCTGTATACGTGTGATGATGTGAGAGTATTTGGGAGGGAGCTGACTCACTACTCTTAGACGTACCAGAGCACTCGGGGTCAGATAAGTCATAAAGTATGGGCCTTTGGTAAGATTTTACGGAGGCCATGTTGGAAGGTAGTTTTAAAAGGCTGACTATCGTACTTATTTAACTAGAATGATTAACACTGGAGATATGTCAAGTAATGATGAACAGTAAATATATGAGGAAATCCAGACGTTAGAAATAGGACTAAAGGGGTAGAAGAATATTTTCAGATGTTGTTAAACTTAACACCAAATATCAAGTGTTCATCACGAAAATCTACCGTCGTGCCTTGGCAAAGCACTAGGTTTTATCAATTTGGTTATCTAATTGGGTTAGGAAAACAAAAGAATTCATTATTCAGTTTATGGTTTTGTAAGGATATCAAACAAGAACGTACTGTACCGTCAGGTGTCATTTAAGCCAATGTTAAGATTAAAGCACTGAATTCAGAACTGATATACTTCGTAAAGAGTGGTAACAGTAACTAAATGACTAGAAATTTATAGAAACTAAAGAAAAACTATAAGAATGAACAACTTAGTACTTACGATTGATGTTTGCTGAAGTGAGATTCAATGCACATAACGAGACAGCGTGCACTATCATTCGACCTCAGAGCGTAAACTTCGACAGCTCCATCAGGGAAATGTTCGTTTACATAGACAGTAGCGCTATCTTCTAAGGCACGCCTCCAACTCTCCAGATCACAGTCTATATTATCAAAGCTACTCTTGTCAAAACTTTTAACATCACTGACTGTCTGCTTGAGATGGTCAAAATGAAATGTCAACTGCGATCTAGGACACATAAAATATCCATCCCCCAAGTCTGCGTATGCAGTAATCAGAGTCGGATACTCGCAATTTGGTAACTTCACATGGATCATTTGGTCCTTGTTATACTGTGCCACTGATCTAGAAGAGTTTAATAGTATAAATTTGTTCTTACGCTGCTAGCTTCTCATGAATATGATGGTCATCACCAACGAAACAACGGATATCTGAATGAATGTGTGAGCGATTCGTACACCTTACCATCTAATACTTCATTAAATTCACAGGGCGGTGCAAGTAAAACCAATCTAGCACATATAGTAGCCTTTAAAACAAAATTGTCGATTTAACCAGGTATGAACAGCAGGATACCTTATCCTCTGGCGTAATATCCCCATCCACCATCTTAGCGATTAGCAAACCAACAAGGCGCAAAGTCACAAACTGCGCGCTCCTATTTTGAAGAGGAATGCGAAGTTCAGGTAGATTCAGATTTTCAGAACTGTGTAATAAGAACAGAAAGCCTGTGGCCTATGTTATTCCTTTTCTAGTATACTTCTGTGAGTGCCTAGTTTTCTCTTGAATGAGTCAATCGAAGGTGCGGACACCACTGCCTTGAGTAACGGGTTCCGATAATTGATGTCTCATTGTGAAAACCCGTATACCATGCGTATTTCGTTCGCTCTTTGATTTTCTAATCGCCTTCTATGTCCTTTGAGTCGTCCTGACTGACAGGAAGAAAAAGGGAGGATATATTAGGTCTAAAGCCATAACTCAGTATTCTATACATCATTATCAGATCACCTCTTAATATGTGATACGACAGAGTAAAGAAGTCTAGCTTTTCAAGCCGTTCTTTTTATGGTAAACCCTGGAGTTCTAAAATTGCATGTTTATTTCCCCTCTGTACTTTTTCAAGGATATCCGAGTCACCTTATAAACAAGGGCTTACAGCCTGAGTGCAGTTTTCACGTTTAGTTCTCATCAAGGTTGTGTTGACACTTGTGGGCAAAGTAGTGCCTAACTTGATAAATGTCCGTCTCAAAGCCCATAGGGTTCTAAACCCCTTAGTTGCTACCTCACGGCAATGGGCCGGGGTCTTAAGATCATAATCCACTGTCACCCTATGATCCATTTGAGACCGGACTATGGGTACAGGTACTTCCCCTGTGTTGTACCTAATTACCTATGTATCCCCAAAGTGCATGTAGATACACTTTGCTGCGCCGATAAGCGTCAGCCACTCTTTGAATTAGCCAATCACAATATTTAAGTCAGCCTGAAGTGCGCATGCATCTGATTCTCTCGTTATTTTTCGCCAAATTTTCACATCAGCGTATAATAACATTAGGACTCAACTATACTTGAGAGATCATTTATACATAGTATGAAAAGTAAAAGGCCTAGGACAGAATCTCTCGGTACTCCACTAAGTACTGGTCTCTACATGGAGCACTTGGAATTTACTCTTACTTTCTGTTTACGACCTACTAGGAACTCCTTAAGCCATTTTAGAAGTCCGGCAATCCCTAGATTTTCCAGCTTCAAGTACAGTCTGTTTGCTGGCACTTTGTCAAATGATTTGCTGAAGTCTATGTAGATAACATCCACTGATTTTCCATTGTCTAGAACCTTTACCCATTGCTCCCGTACTATCAGGATGTTTTTTGTAAAAGATAAACCTTTTTTGAAACCATGTTTTTTGCTGTTTAACAAGTTGATGGTTTCCACGAATGTCATTATGGTCCTTTTGGCTATTCTTTCCAGTATTTTAACCACGATGCCGGTGAGGCTGACAGGTTTGTAGTTCGATGGAAGTTTTTTGATCCTATTCTGTGTATTGGAGTGACGATGGCATCCTTCCAGTTCGTAGGTAACACACCTTGGTCAAGTGATGTATTGAATATCGCAGTCAGTGGGGCTGCAATATATTTTGCAATATGTCTCAAGATTTTTTGGTGCATTTCATCTGGCCCTGTTGGCTTTCTGTTGTGGATGCGGAGGAATAGACCAATAATTATCATGTTAAGTCCAATGGTGTCCTTGGACTTTAAATGGACATTTCCTATTGGTCGATATCTGTTCACTTGTTGAGTATTGTACAAAATGTTGTTTTCTATTTTTATGGTACGATGTGGTATGCTTGGTTAGTATATAAATAGAGTATGTTTGAAATACAATGATTCATATCTCAGAGGCTGTGGCTTGTGTTCTGGACTCAACTGGCTGGACTGGACAGGGAAGCAGGACCAATCAGAACTGTAGGCCGTTCGTTCGTGTTTACGTGTCACTGTCACCGAATCGATCAATAAACGCTGCTTATCAAAACCTGCAGTCACACCCGTCATAACACTTTCCCATGTCTAAGGTGATAAGATCCTTAAGTACATCGTCTTGATCGAAGTCCACGGTGAGCAGGTGGCTTGTTGACATTGTATTTTGGTCTGGCTCTTTCTCTAGAGGAGGTTCCTGAGTGATAACTGCCAAAAATAGTCAGCCATAACCTTTGCTTCTTCCTTATCTTCCTCTATCATTTCAGATTCACTCTCTTCTTTAATTAGGTTTGGAATCCAATGATGCATCCTTGTTCTATAGTTTATGTACGAGAATATTCTCTTGGGCTGCTTGAATGCAGATTGTGCCAAGTGCGTTTCATATTTTCTTTGAGCTTCCCGGATTTTAATTATACGCTTTGTTCTTACTGACCTGTAGCGTTTCAAAGTACTTGTTGTGCCAAGAATGATGACAACGTTCCAACATTTCTTCTTGGTAAATGTCAAATATCCCGGCCTATCCAGGGATGGCCATGCTTCTTCTCTGCGATCGTCCAGGGTATATATGGTTGAGTTACCTGATTGTATAACTGCTTGAAATGAGTCTGTGTCTCTTCTACTGATGCCTCTGAGTCAATTATCCTGTTTTCAGCCGATGCTGCAAAGTTTATCACCTTTATGTCTGCCTCCCACATGCTAGGATGGGCTGGTGCAGTTGGTTGACAAGCGATATTAAATATGAGCTTGAACAAGATGACTGCATGACCACTTCTCCCTAAAGGTGGGAGGAAAGTTATGTGACTGACATCATCACCATGTGTGAAGATTAGGTTTGACAGGGATGAGGAGCTTCGTAAGTTTTATCTGGTAGGATTTCTAATGTGCTGAAACAAAGCTAGTGCAATCGAGATTTCTAACAGTTTACAATCAAACGAAGTTGTCGATGACCCTACTTCTATGTTTACCCAATTTATATACGGTACATAAAAGTTGCCTGCCATAAGGCCTTTACAGCTATTACACCAAGACTTAAGTTTGCTTAGGAGGAAGTCATCTACTACACATTCTGGACTATGATGTGCTACAATCAATTTAATATCTTGCCGTCTACATTTCGGCCTGAAGCGTACCAGTTTACGTGTCCCTGGGTTATGTGCCACTGTCTCGACAGTTCGTATGGTTAAGGTTCTTTTCCTGTCTAGGATAACCCTACAACTCCCATGTTTTGGTCTATAAACCCTACTAGGTCAGAAACCAAGCAATCTAGCTCCACATTTCACTACATCGTGCAACACACCTCTGACAACTAACCATGATAGGCATTATAAGCCAAAACGTTTAGTCTGTTATCCAAATTTATCTCGTTCCGTCGTCTTGAACTCTTGCTTTCAGTGGTTTCAGGACCATTTCGTTACAAGTGGATCGGACAACATTATTACCTGACTTGGTAGAATTACAGTCTAGGTCGATATTAAGCGCGTTTATCTTTGCCACCAAAATAATAGACCTAATCCCAAAATTACAAGTTTGCCAAGATGTGACTACCTCATGTATAAGATCATACACAGAAGCCACGTTGTTGTCTATGCTGATCCGTTCTATTGTGACAGTCAGAAGTAGGATATTTGGGACTTCTGAACAACACACTTGGGTTGGCAATGGAATAATGTACTTAATATGCACAGGAATGGATTACATAAAGTGGCCATGTCTGTATGGCCAAGCCGTGTCATACCGATTCAGTGTCCCTTCGTTCATCAATTCTAACCTTCTCAACAGTGCTAAATGTCAAACTTAAAGCTCAGTTATTATATGTTCGGCCTATAAGATCGTGTGGTTGCTAACCAATACCAAATGCAAAACCAATTGGGGTTACCGAACTCTGGTGGTTATCAAAAGAAGTGAACGACCCTATGTTGTTACTAAGCAAGGGTTAAAGTAATTTCTGTCCAAATTTGAAGGTCAAACATGCATTCCCCGAAGATCACCTTATCACTCTGATTTTCCTCCCACCAATACTGTCTTTAGTAAAATGGGTTACGCGGGGAAATTTTTTTGAGACCCAATAACACTGTTAACTAGTGCACGAAATGTAGAATACAAAGCAACTTCCGACACAACAAATGCTTCATTGAATATAAAAATCTGGTCACTTTGTTCAACAATAAACTACCAATGAGACATTTCAGTATTCAAAGGGCTAATATGGTCCAGCCTTGAAAATACTATTTTCCATTTTTCCGTCAACTTACAAAATTACACCACTTTGTGAGAGTAAGCAGGTTTCCACTGATTTTTGTTGGATTCTTTAATTTCTAGTCGATAAGCAGCATTCGTCGTTCTACTTTCTTTTTAAAAATCACGTGAATAATATTATATTCAATAAAACAAAATCGTTGGGAAACGAGGTTCACATGCTGGCGATGAGACTCCCTGCCTGGACTTGGGATTAAACAGTCATTGAGTTAAGGGTGTGAGAAGCTTATACCTTGAAACATTTCGCCAATGAATCTTTTGGAAGTTTAAAGAACACTTCTTAAGTCGACAGGTTTATTCGAAAATCCGCAGCATCCAAAAGCGATGATGATAGTTGTTTTAGGAAACCTTTCAAGGTCTTTCAAGGTAGCTGTCGGATCGTGGGTGTGCGGCAACGAGGAAACATCAGTAGTAATTTCCGTATTAAGTAGCTGGTAATATGTAGATAGATCCCGGCCGCTGCCGTACGTTTTAGGGGCAATATCCAGAGTATATGCTCATAGGCTATCATATGTTCGAATTCATTTTTGCCCGATCAAAGTGTTTCGGGAACTACTCGGTGGCTTTCAAAAATACGGGTTGTCCTATAGTCCCGATATAGTGTGATGCCTTCACACAGTAGTTGAGGTCAAGTTTTGTAAGGTTGAGGGTACTTGTCAGGTGTCGGTTTGAAGTATGGATCGATCATATGTTTACTTGTGGCCGGGTATAACTTGCAACCAGAAAATGACAATCCTCAAACATATAATTTCGTGTTTCCGTCCACTAACCCCAGTTTGCCCTGGTTGATGAGCAGGTTATGATGTCATACAAGGTCTATACCACTGATTGGCATAGAGATGTCAGCAACCACGAATACCAGTGAAAGGATCTGTGTAAACCCATGTCAGGGTAAACATATCTTTTACCATGTGTGGCGATTGGTCTTCCATTTATCATTTGTAAGCTGAAGACCAGATATTGCAGGTGGTCACTAGATTTGTGGGAAGAACGCTTATTTCTGCTCCAATGTCGAAGAGATCG